TGTGTGTGTGTGTGTGTGTGTGTGTGTGTGTGTGTGTGTGTGTGTGTGTGTGTGTGTGTTTTAGGTTCAACTATAGTTCTTAAATATGGGGTGATGTTCCAAGCATACTCATTTGGATTTGAGGAATTATTACCAACTAAAAATAGAGTAAATTAGTTGACCTTTATCAGTCCACGTATGGCTTGTTACATAGGATTTGTAATTTGCCAGAAAATAAAAATTAGAGGACCAGGGATTTAGCTCAGTGGTGCCTCTGCCTGCCTCGAAAGCGCAAGGTCCTTAGTTCAATCCCTGGTACCAAAAAAAAATAAAATAAAAAAAAAATTAGATTTGCATAGTAATTACTTAGGATATTTTTATCATAGTACAGTACTCATAGATTCATAGGCCTCTATGGGCCTCTGTGGTGGAAACTCAACCAGTCAGTAGTATATCTTATGTTTGGTTACTCTTGTATGATTGCAAGTACTTAAACATTGGGTAAATAGCTTTAGATATCTAGATAAATTTTTCTTTTTAATTAGTGAAAGCATGAGTCCTTTATTGTTCAGGTGTCAGTGTTACAAAGAGTCGGCTGTCCTGGAGATCACCTCTTCCTCCTAAACCACATACTTCGATGCCCAGCTGGTGTTAGTAAGTGGGCCGTTCCTTTCATTCAGGTATGACTTGTTTCTTTCTGATTGTGAGGGTTTGGGTTGAAGGTTTAATTAAATGATAGTCCTGAAGAAACTGGTAGAAAAAAAATAAACTTAAAACTATTGACAACATTATTGAAATAGATCTAGTGTATATTTGTAGGAGTAATTTTGGCAAGACTTCTTGGGCCAACCATAGCTGATGAAATTATGACAGAATTGAAAATGTTCAGTTGTAGCCTGGCTTGATAGTTTCAGTAGTATTATATTCTGTATGCTTTCTGTGCAGTAAGGCTTGCTGGGACTATTTTTTCTGTAGTGCTTCAACATAGCTTCCTAAACTAATTCATCTCGTATGACGTTTAGTATAAGTAAAACAGGAACCACCAGCTATTAACAGATCTCAGGCCTCTGTGGACAACTTTCATATACTTAGGAGTTTATTGTCTGGTTTATAGTTTCTCCTCTGCTGCTTGGCTTTGGGTCATTTTATTAATCTTAGCAACCACCCAGCTGGACAGGAACCAAATGTATGTCAAGTTCAACTTCTCTATATTTTTTTTACTTAAGTCTTTCTGGTGGTGAGAAGTCTGAGTATTTTAGAAATGAAGGGGATTTTTTTGCTTTTGTTCCTCTTTGGATTAAGGTAGCATTACTGTCCACATCTTGTGTTATAGGCTATCAATGTAAATTGCTCGGCTGCCTCTCTGCTCCTTGAGTACAGCTGAGGCAGCGATACTGGGTAATCCACGAGCTGTGTCTCACTCTTGGTGATTAGGTGGCAGTTTCAACTCTGTTCTCTTTTTTTTGGTACCGGGGATTGAACTTGGAACCTTGTGCTTGCGAGACAGGCGGCGGCACCACTGAGCTAAATCCCCAGCCCTCAACTTCGTTCTCTTGACAGCAACTTTATTGTTAGAGTGCTTGTGAACTAAGCTTATGAACACTTGGTTTGTTGGTGTTCTACAGTATTATTTTTCCTTTTCTGATTTCAGATCAAAGTGTTGAACAACCCATCAGGGGTCTTTCATTTCATGCAGTCCCTTGCCCTGCTGATGTCTCCTGTCAAGTAAGTGTGGAAAGGCTTTGTGAAGTAGAAATTTTATCAAAGTACTGGCTTCCTTATTTGTTTAGATCCAAAGAAGACTTTCTAAGGGAAGTATTAGCATTGTAGACCTAACACTGCAGATTTTCTTTGGGTTTGATACCCTCAGTCTGAAAGTTACCCTTTTAATTGCTTATTAACCCCTTTTGGGTTCCCCCTCTTAGTGAGTTCATCTCTTTTCTTGTATATGTCATCGTGAAAGGTGCTACAGACAAAAGAAACGATGTATTCCTTAGGAGAAATGACTTAGTGCTGGCCGAGGGTGGGGGGGTACAGAGGAATTGACGTGCTAAGTTGTAAATATGTAATTAAAGCAATAGCAATGTAGAGAACAAAGAGTGGTCAGAGAGGGTTCCATGGCAGATGAGCATTTGAATAGGTTGGGAGAAAAAGACTAGGGAAGCCTATAGGTGGGGAGAACAGTATGAATAAAGGTGTTGGTACAAGTTGGGCAGCTGCACAGGGACAGGCACATCAGCTTGGCTGGGGTAAAGGAGAAGATCATAAAGGTAAATGACTAGGGTTGGTTAGAGAATGGAAAGCCTCTTAAATTTAGGCACAGGTATTTGGATTTGTATAGTTGGGTCTTTGTAACAGTGGAGAGTTTTTGAACAGGGGTAAAAGTTGTATTTTAGGAAGATTAGGATGGACGGAGGCTTCTTAATTGAATGGTTACAGACATCTGCCTCTCCTGGCCCTGGAACCCAACCCAACTTCAAGAGGGTACGTCCCGGACTGGGGAGTAGGCAGGGTCTGTGTATAGGGAACCCTGAACAGTGTTACTGCCACTGTTCTCTCAGGTCCTGGGAAGTCTACCACCCAGCCTGCTTCAGGGTAATAGTAGTGGGACAGGGGAGGGGAACCCAAGGTCATCTTTCCAGGAAAGGATTTAGTAGCTGATTAAATAAACAATGTAGGAAAGGAATAGGTCAGACTTTTGAGTTTGGGTTGGAGGACACTGGCAATACTAACAGAAAAGAAAGAGCTGTTTTGTAGGGAGGAAAGTTTAAGGTCATTGATACACTGTATACAAGTGGAAACATACAAGTGACACATTCCCAGAAACACTAGGAGTTCGTAATTGGCACTTGGCTAGTTGAAAGGGCAACACTAGAGCTACAGAGCTAGAAGTCATGGTAGAAAAGTTTCTGGGTAAAGATAGGAGTGAATGAATTTTTAAAGAGAAAGGAACAGAGGACTGAAAAGAAACTATCTCAGTTACACCTGCTCATCAGATCCAGCCAACAGCTTGAGAAAGCTGGCTGGGAGGAATTCTCTTTTTTCCTTCTCCCTTACTGCCTGTGCATAGGGGCTGCTACAACATATTGTAGTGTCATTTTACACAGGTGTTTCTGCATTGACATCTACTGGGGCTTAAACAAGCCTCTGCATTACCTGTGGGTTACCTTTTTTTTTTTGGTACTGGGGATCGAACTCAGGACCTTGTACTTGCAAGGCAGGCATGGTGCCACTGAGCTAAATCCCTGGACCAGGTTACCCTTTTTTACTCAGTTCCCCAGCAACATTCTGTAAGCCTGGTTTGAGTGAAGGTACTGCAGAAGTCCTTGTCTGTCTATTTGTCTTTCTGTTTTTCATTCATTCATTCATTCATTCAGATACTGGGGATAGAACTTGTGCTAGGAAAGTGCTGTAACCACTTTAGCTGCACCCCCAGCCCTTGAACCTGTTTTTGGAGACCAGGTCTCATTAAGTTGGCCAGGCTGGATTTGAACTTGAGAACCTCCTGCCCCAGTCTCTCATATAGCTGAGATTACAGGCTTGTACCACTACTCCTGGCAGTCCATGTATATTCAGTATCACTGTGGAGTGAGATCTGTATTAGTGTAACTGCTTTTCTGCAGTTGCTGTATTACTATGTAATTTAGAATTGTGATCTCTCCACCCAAGTTAGTGAGGTTTTAGTATTCGTGATTTTCAATGGATCTTATTTATTAATGTGAACTATTTGAAGTTGTGTTGATACCTGAATCTTCTTTGGGGTGGATACGAGATTTATAATGCACTCATGTGGGGCTTTCTGTGTTCATGCAATTGGAGTCATTTCCTTTGTCCTTTAGAAATCGAGCAGAGTTTATGTGCCACATGAAGCCCACTGAGTGGAAGCCATCCTCTTCAGGACCTGCATCTGGGAACTGGACATTAGTAGATGAAGGAGGAGAAGAGGTAGTCATGTCTGCATTGCTTTGATTAATCATTTTTGAATTATTCTTATGTACCAGGTATTATTCTAAGCACGTTCACATATTATCTCACTTAATTCTACTAGGCTCAAGGGGTAAGTACTATTGTGATTGTCTTTTCACATGTGAGCAACTGAAGTGCAGGGAAATGAAGTTGCTTGTCTTGGATCATCCAGTCATTAAATAGGCGTCCTCCAGAGCCAGTGCTGTAAGCCAGTGTGCTGTGCTGCCCCCTTCCATAGCCTTTTGTTCATCTGGGAGGAGGAACCTGGGAATGAAGTTCAGCTGTACTAAATGAAATTTATATGAGGATTTTATATATTTTACATATTTATATATTTTATATATTTCTTTTATATACTGAAAGTTTCGGGAGTTTGAGGTCTCACTAAAGATAGTCTGAGTCTGAATAATGAATAGCTGAGTTGAGCAGGATTCTACCGTAACACTGATAAACTTCTTATTTGGATCTTCTCATTTGAAAGGTAGAGGCTAGTTTTCTATTTTTGATGAGAATTTAATGGCCAAAATCCAGTTTCTTGAGATAATACTTGTTAATTTTTCTATTGTATATGAGATTAGTGTATTTGTGAGAAATTTTCTTCAGCTAATTATCAGCTCTAATGCTTCTTTGTGGTCCAGGTCCTGATTTTTTCTTTTGTATCGGGAATCGAACTCAGGACCTTGTGGCTGCAAGGCAGGTGCAGTGCCACTGAGCTAAATCCCTGACCCTCCAGGTCCTGATTTGATGTTCTCATTTAGGATAGCCAGCGATCAGATTTACAGAATCTTCCTGTCTTTATGGGCAGTGGACAGTTCTCAGAATGACAACAATGGTAGCTGTTAGAATTTTGTCTGTGTATTTTCCCAAGTGCTCATTCAGAAGTAGGTGTCCCCTTCACAGTTGTTTTACACCTCCTGAAACTTGCAGCAGGTAGTGAAGTGGTGGTAAATGCTAAATGATGTGGAAATGCAAACACTTTTGTCAAAGACTGAGCCATCTTCTTGAGCTTCTTTGGAGCTGGTATGGTCCTCTAAAGATTGTAGTATGTTTTTCCAGAATGGTCTTTCTTAAGAGAGGAGTCTTTAGGGGGTGGTAGGTATTCTCCATTTAGTCTCAGAGACTAATGTTTCTAATGGCCTTGCATTGATACCTTGCTCCTGGTTAGCACTCACTGAATGTTTGGTGAGTCTGAGAATTTAAGGAGTCGGTGAGAAAGTTAGGAATGCTGTTGAATCAGAAAAAGCTGTGGGGAGGAAGACATTCTGGGTTATCCAGAGCAGTGGTTTTTTAAACACTAACTCTTTATATCTCTTGGACAACTTATGCCTTTGCCTGGGCCCAGACCCACACATTCAGATGTTTCACTACCTTCCTGGTGATCCTTACGTACACCCAAAGTTGAGAACTGCTGCTCTAAATGGAGTTTCCGAGGCTTTGTTAGCCATTTTGGCCACTGTGTTAGTCTGTTTAGAATTGTAGTAATGAAATACCTAAGCTAGTTTTGTAAAGAAAGGGAGTTTAATTAGCTCACGGTTTTGGAAGCTGGAAGACTAGATGGTAGAGTGCATGGAGAAAAGATGATCACATCTCAAAACATTAAGACACAGGGATTTAGCTCAGTGGTTCTGCCGCCTGCCTCACAAGCGCAAGGTCCCGAGTTTGATCCCCGGTACCAAAAAAAGTAAAACATTAAGACAGACAGCTCGATGAAGTTAGCGTCCTCTTTTTAAAACAACTCTTGTGAGAGCTACCAGGGGATCCTATAAGAACTTACTTAACTCTTTCCAGGGGCAGCACCCTGAGTGGCTTAAGGACCTGCCACATTCTCCCTCCCAACACTGGCATCCTGGGGACCACACTCCCAACACCTGAACCATGGGGGACAAATTATGTCTAAACCATAGCACATACATCAGGGGATAAAATGAATGGTGTAAGGAAATGGTGAATGAATTACATTAGTTTACTGAAATTAAGGTGATGTATTCTTCACTGTGGATCTTTTTACATCCTTCTCTTTTAGTATATGTGCTGCCGAAGCGAGCATACATCCTTCCCTTTTAAGTGTAGTGTGTCTTAGGACCCAAATTAAGTTGGTTTCCAAGGTGACTTTAGGGCTCTAAATCAAACAAAAAGACCCCAAAGACATCCCCTAGATAATCTCTGTGTGTAATCTCTTATATTTTTGTCCTGCTTTCTGCAACACTAATTGACAGCTGAACTTCAGTTACCTGGAGCAAATGCTAATTGCTTCCTGATGAATTGGTTGAGTACTGAAGTAGACCTTGATTTAGGGGAAAGAAAATGATAGGGAAAATAATTTGGGTTCCACTTGATATTGTCACAGCATTGAGCTGTATGGTAAGGTTTGTGTGGTAGAGGAATTTTTTTGGGGGGGGTATCTTCTTTGGGGTAGAAATTTTTCACATTTCTTTATTTATTTGAGCCATGACATTTCAAAAATAAGAAGGGAAAAAAAACCCTTAACAAATTAAGTGAGATTCGAGCTCAGCCTGGGTGACTTAGTGACATAGGGGGACCTTATCTAAAAAAATAAAAAATAGCCGGGTGTAGTGGCTCACACCTATAATCCCAGCACTCGGGACACAGAGGCAGGAGGATGGCTTCAAGTTTGAGGCCAGCCTGAACTACACAGTGAGACCCTGTCTCAAAAAAAGAAAAAAGAAAAAAAGCTGGATGCAGTGGTACATGCCCGTATTTGCAGTATTCTAGGAGGTTGAGTAAGATGAAGGAAAAGAAACAAAAACCTCACAAAGTGAAAAAAAAATCAGATAATTATTATCTGACTGTAATTTATACCATGCTTGTTTTTGAAAATTGCTTGTTGGGGTAGAAATTTAATGAGCTGTTTTAGCCTTTGAAGAATGGACATGACCCAGATGCGTAAGAAATTTGGCTTGCAATTTCAGAACCTTTTCAAGCTATCTGTGGAACTGAGGCTGTAAATCTCAGTCCTGGAGGAAAAGTCCATGAGGAGTCATAAGGATACCTACTACCATATGTGTGATAATTTAATTCCTCCAACTCCATAATGTGATCTGATCAAATCAGCTGACATGACTTTGCATCTTTTCTTTAGGATGAAGACCCTGAAACCAGTTGGATTCTCCTTAATGAAGATGACTTGGTTATCCTTTTATCACAGTTTCCATTTCATGAACTCTTTCAGCATCTTCTTGGTTTTAAAGCAAAAGGTAGACCAGTTTCTTTTGTCATAAATAAAATGTAGTAATGGCAGGCTCCACATAGGAAACATCCAGTCCTACTTCTTATATAGGATCCTGATTTAGGTTTTCCTGTTCCTGTGTGTTGTAGATTTCCTTTTTCTTGTGCTTATAATTTCCCACTTAATGCTTAAATGTGAGAAGGATGACTAGTTTACATGTTGCCCAGCTTAAATACCTTATTTTTTATATTGTAGTTTGTTTCAAGTAGTGAGATTTTTAATTCCTATCTTGGCTTTGTTCCTCATTAAAGTACTTAACATTTGTATCTTTCACTGTTTTTTCATAATAATTATAATTTTTGCCTTTTATCTGATTAACTTCTAGGTGATTATTTGCCCGAAACAACAAGACCTCAAGAGATGATGAAAATTTTTGCCTTTGCCAACTCATTAGTGGAACTTTTGGCTGTGGGATTAGAAACCTTTAACAGAGCCCGCTACAGGCAGTTTGTGAAGCGCATTGGTTATCTGATCAGGTGATAGTGTTGTTGGTGCATTCTTCTCTGTTTGCTTTCACCTTGGTTAGACATAGATATTGCATAATTGGGGTGACAGGCATTTTATTACCTAGGTCTTCTTTTCCATAAAATAATTTTTTTCCCTTTCATCTACCAGATAGAATTTTATGAATGTTTCCATTCAAAATATTTGGTTAATTATCTCAACTTCAGCTGATTTGCTAGGCAGTTGTTCTTGGAGTTAAGATCCTCTGAGGTGCAGCTGAATTGAAGTCTGAGCTGGAGAGAAGGGTCAAGGCAAATGCAGGCTCTCCTTTTGTATCCTTTAAGTCTTGTTTACCTCCTAGCTTTCACCTTGGAATTGAAATTTAGCTGTTGAGAATTGGTCATGGGTCTTTTATGTCTTTATTTTTTAATTTTCTCTCTTATTTATTCTTATTCTAATTTATAGTATATAACATTTTAGGAATTGCAAAGACTTAATCAGAGCCACCATATTTGAACTGGGAAAGCATTATTATATAGTATTTGAGTGAAAAGTGGTTTATAGTTTTATTTTCTATTATTTTGAGAATATATACTGCTTTTCTTTGAATTAATTTTATA